AGTCACCGGAGTAGGGGGGTGGTGCATGTGGGGTGGGTTTATTATATTATATTATATTAGAATTAAAAAAAAAAAAAAAAAACCTGATTTTTGAAGTTTCAAACTATAAACCTTATTTTTGAATTGGTGTAAAGAATACACCTTATTTATGAATTTTTCCCTTAAACTTTTTAAATGAGGGCTAAACTAGAAAGATCGAAGGAAGGTGAAGCACCAATAAAAGCCCATTGTTTATCGTTTGTCAGTAAGCTATGAATGGGCAATCCAATTAAAAACCTATCTTCATGGTGTAACCCATAACTGCATATCCAACTATAACAAAGGCCTGTTTTAAAGTTCAAGAACAATAAAACGGGCCTATCAGGTTTTTCCTTCGAATCTCACTAAAAATTGGGAAAATATTACTGTGAAGGAAAAGGATAGAAGGGAGTGGGGTTTGTTCATCACGAGGTTCTAATTTTATCTTGTGTTGCAGTGATTTCTACGAGTATAGATCATCTTCTTCATCACCAAACTTTTGGAAGGTAATACAGATTTTTTTTGGTAAAACCTCAAACTTTAAATCTATTTGGCTTTATATAATGATTTTGCACTCGATTTGATTGCTGTGGATGATTTAATTTCAACAAAACCCTCGATCTTATCCTTCCGAGTTACCATTATCAGTTGCAGGGAAGGGGGTCGATCGACTTCTAAGATTCTGTCCAGCCTTATCGCCATTCTCTTCTTCTACATCCTTGGAATTTATGTACTTTTTTCCAATTTTTTTGTTTCTTGAGGGTAATCTTCCTTTTGCAGCAACAGCGATGTTATCGTCAATATCTCTCTTGAAGCTTTGATGTGGTTGTTTATTGTTTTCTCCTTGGCTTTAGCACCTGCTGCCCCTCGAGCGTAATTTTTGAAATACCCCCAGTTGCCCCCACTAGACCCAGGTGGCTCAGCCCCTGGATGCTTGACTTTGGGGTTTTTGAAGTAGAGAATTCGATGTTTTGGGAAACTGTGGAACTTGCTCTACTGTTTAATTAAAGTTAGAATAATTTTAAGATGTTACATACCCAAGGAGCTTCAAAGAACACTTGCAATCTCCTTGCTGTCTATTGTGGGAGAACTGCAGAAAATAAACAGGAGAGAGATGTTGCAGATGAAAAGCCTAAGTTCCCTTTCCCAGTTATTGTATCTTCAGGGCATTTAGAGGTGCGGATTCTTTTCAGGTTATTTGTGTGGTTTAAAATCTTCAATTTATGAAGTTTTTAAAGAATTTCTGCATGCATTTTTGTACTGGCTGTTAGTCATATTATTACCATATGCTATATAGGTTCAAACATTGAAAAATCCAAGTATTGAAGAGTTTCGAAAGGTTGTTGATTCATGGCAGCCAAATTGTGTGTACTTGAAAGGAGAACAGCTGCCAAATGATGAAGTTGGCCCCCTGGTTTGGGGAGGGGCCGACTTGTCCTCTCCAGAAGCTGTATCTGGACTCTTTAGTACCACATTGCCTATATCTGTAAGTGATTTGTCCTCAGTAACTTGTTAAATGTTTTGGTTAATTTTCTCTGCCTGACTATTCTTGCTTCTGTGCCTGTAGAACTCTCTTCGTTTTTTCTTTTCCGAAGGCTGATTTAGTCATCCATCAGTGAATATTAGTTCTGTTGACGTTTTATTTGATTTGAAATGAAATGCTTATGTAGGTTTATCTGGAGTTCCCAAATGGTGAAAAGTTTGCAGAAGCACTTCAGGCAAAGGTAAGAGATGAAAGATGTTATTATAATCAACTATTGGATATGTTTGCAATTTATTGGACAAAACAACGTATGAGATATAGAATCTTGTTATGATATAAGGTCATGGATGAATTTCCTTTGGTTTGATCACCATCTTCATGTTTGCAGGGAATTCCTTACGTAATTTATTGGAAGAACACTTTTTCTTCCTATGCAGCTAGCCATTTTTGTCATGCAATGTACTCAGTGGTACAAAGGTATTCTTACTTTTACATTTGAATGTATAAAACCACAGTATGGCATGAGTAAATGTATCTGTCCACCTCATCTCTATCTTACCTGTTCAAATTTCATCTTGTTAAACAGTTCTTTATGGTACAAGTTATACTGGCTGGTAGTATAAGAAGCACGGACATGAACATGCAACTCTATATGACATGGAACGGAAATGTCAACGTTTATTATTTCAAACAAGTGGGACACCTATACGTTGGGGACACAACTATTTAGCCTCCATTTGGGAAGAATTTATAAACAGTTTAATTTATAAATAAATAGAAATGAGTAGTGGAGTACTTGTGGATCCATTGGAATTTGTGGTTAAAAATGAAGTTTGACGATGTAAACGGAGGCTTAAGTTCTTTAAAATTTTACATGATACTTTTAACACTGAACTCGACACCATGACATGTGGGACACGTGCCCAAATAGTGTCCCCCTTGAGCGCCAAAAATTTTAAAACTGTCTAAACATAGGACTCATAAGTGTCCGAAGAGTGTCAATGTTTGACATAACATAGATGCATGTCAGATAGGAACGCACTGCTCTAGTAGGATTGTCCATGCTTCATAGCTGGTAGTAGATTGAGTTTATAAATCGCAGCTGCTCTCTTCAGGGATTTTTAAGATAGTCTTGTACTCTTGACCAATTTGTTGGGAATTGAATATATTAGTTTTAACATACACTGTCTTTTGTGGAACGCTGAATTTTATGTATATGGTTTTCTATTCATTTGCTGACAAATATTCATTTATATATTAAAGGATGAAAAAAAGTGATGGTCATTATATTTTGGGTTAGGGTGAAATTTCTTGTTAATTGCTGAAATTCATTTCGTTCCAAAATGGTCACTTTGCTTTCTAAAGTGTTTGATTTATTTCACCTGGTTAGTTAGTCTGCCATCCATTATTCAAAGAGAATAATTTTGGAAACCACCCGTGTAAATATATGCCACATATTTGCTATTTTGCCCAGATTTCGACAGTGTGGGACACTGATACTCTTGACCCAATCTCAATCCGATGTTAAGCGGTTCAGGATTCTTCCCAAGTCTCAACCCATTAACCGCAGTACCATTGTTGTTAACCAGCCCGGGCAAAACCATGGCCACATGATGTTCACTTCTCCCTAAAAGAATAGGAAAGGGATTTGAACCTGTTCTCTTATAGACTTATAGTATAGGGTCTTCATTTAAGGTACCTGCTTATGCATTAGATTTAATCTAATCATATTGACTAGGGTACAGAGGATTCCGCGGAGCTTGTTGAGAGAGATGTTGGGAGCCAAAAAATGTCACTGTTGGAAATCCCATAGATGAGGTTGAAGGTGGTGATGTCACTGAGGGGTGGGGTTCGGGATGGTGCTGAAGTGTTGGGCACAAATTTACACAGGTGGTTTAAAAATTAAAGGTGAAAAATGCTGTCAGATTTCCCATTAAGACATGCACATAATTGTGTTAAATGATAGGTGGCCAACTAAATAAATGACGTAAGTGAAACGATTGTCGAGGTAAATTAACCATTTTGAAGGAAGATCAAGTTCAGGCATCATGAAATTTTGCTCTATGTACAGAGATAATCAGTGTTTTTACCCTATTCTTGAGTTTTCCATGTCTGGGTTATACTTGATGTCAGTGATCAGTTTTATTGCAAGAGCTGATCAGACATGGATCAAAGTAATTAGAACATGCATTTTCTTCTTTCTTTAACTCCCTCTATATGTTCTTCACTTCCTCTGTGGATTTGGAAAACATTAAATTGCTCTCTGAAGCTCTCTTTTTTTTGTCTATTGCAGTTCATACTGTCACACTTGGGATGTGTTTCAGCTTGCGCATGCCTCCTTTAGGCTTCATTACGTTCAAAATAATCTGGTCCTTCATGATAACACCCTGGAAGTTAATGATAAATTGGGCCCTAATCTTCTTGGGGAACCTCCAAATATTAGTGTAACTCTACCTGAGATGGGTCCCGAGGATGATGAAGAGAGTGCCTCTGGTGACCTTCCTGCCGTGAAGATATATGATGATGATGTGAACATGAGGTTTCTTGTCTGTGGAGTGGCAAGTTCATTGGTAATCAAACCGACTTCTTTTAAGTTTGTCTTTCGTATGCTCATCGCCATAAATATTTTTTTAACAATTCAATGTACCCTTGGATATTGTGCCATGGGATGAATTCCTTGTCAGAATGCTTTCTTATTGGGGTCTCTGGAGGATGGTCTCAATGCACTATTGAGTATTGAAGTAAGTGTGACATTGAATTGTCCTTTCCCTCCCTTCCACCTCCTTCCTGCTGCCACTGGATATTAGATGAGATGAGATGAAACAAAATGAGTTTATGTTTGTAATCTCTCAATGTCTTGCATTTTTTTTTCTGTTTCTCTTACATGATTGAGTAATTTGATCTGCCTTCCTTGGTATGGATTCAGATGAGGAGCAGCAAACTTCAAAACAGGGCGAGGTATGTATGTTGTTTCCATACATGTATATACTTAGGAATTTTAGCTATATGTGAGAATTTCTTTACTCCTTTACCATTCATTAGTCTAATAAATCATTAAGATTTCACTTACTTAGCATTAGTAAACATATCTAACATATGGATGTTCAAGTTTGCAACCCTCTTGTATTCTCTCCCCGGGTGGCTCACCTCCGGAATGGGTTGCAGCTTACTCTTGTTGGGATATTTTATGTGCCTTTTTTTCCCCTAGGTGCATCCTGCAAATTTTGGGTGAAGCATTTTGTCCCATTGATGCTGTAATAGTCAATAACATTTCTGAAAACATTTGTTTTGTGGTTCAGTGCCCCCCCACCACCACTTCAGGCTGGCACATTTTCTCGTGGTGTCGTGACCATGCGATGTGATTTGTCAACCAGTAGTTCTGCTCACATCTCTCTGTTGGTGTCAGGAAGTGCTCAAACGTGTTTCGATGATCTGGTAATGCATCTATGTTTTTAATCCCACGTTTCATTTATTTAATTCTTAATATCACAGTTTGTGATTTGGTTTTACCTGAACTTGGCTATGCTTGGCCCTTTTTTCAGCAATTGGAAAATCATATAAAAAGTGAAATCATTGAAAAAAGTCAGCTGATTCGTGCACTGCCAAATTGTGAGGAAAACAAACCATGCTTGTCGGAACCTCGAAGATCAGTCGCAATAGCTTGCGGGGCAGCAGTATTCGAAGTTTCCATGAAGGTTCCAACATGGGCTTCACAGGTCATTTATTTGCATTTCTTCTGCACATTCTACAATTTTAGTGGGCTTTCCTGATCTGGATTGGCTTTAGTTCTCTCTGAACTTGTCAACTCTATATGCTCTTCTTAACAGTCCATCCCTTTAATGCATGTACAGAATGTTGGTTCTTACGAGTACTTGACCTCAAGTTAACTTCTATGATTTGATGGAAATTATTAGAAACCCCAATGACATCTGTTTTTTTTCATTTAACTCTGACAAAGCGCTCTTATAGCATGTTGGGGAAGTGTTTATAAATTGTTTAAATTATAAATATATAGCAAAAAGTGTTGGATAAGAGGGTAGTACTTGTGGGTTCCATGAAGTGTGGATAAAAAGTAGTTTATTGTTTATAAACACGAGTCAAACATAGGTGTAAAATAGGGATATTAATAGGTCGAGCCTGCTCATCTCGGCCCACCGCATAAGCTATCTCGTGCTTGCTTTGGGGTGAGTCGAGCATGATTCAGCTCGTTTTAAAATTTTATGGCCCGGTGAGCAGCTTACATGAGAAAATGCCAGCTCGCCTTGCCCCGTTGGACATCCCTAGCTTAAATTGACTACAATAATAATGAACTTGTTCTTTTTTATTTGTACGCTGAAGTTTTCCTTTCGTTACATATATAGTATTGATACATTTTTTATATTATTAAACATATTTCATTTCCCCAATAATTTATAATTGTTACAGTGGTAGGTGAAGGAATGTGTTATTTTTTTATTCCCAAATAATTTTTAGATTGTCATGTTATGGTTTGGAACTCTATAAATTACTTATAATTCTTGTCCAGTCTTCATTCTACTTATTATTTTTCTAATATCAGGTTGCTCTGAGTTAAAATTTATTTTTTAATTAATGTAAAAATATAACAAGATAC